CTTCGCATATTGCCTTCCTTCCAAAGGCTCATCCAGAGATAATTTACTTCGGGTAGAGAGGGAAGGGTGTATGTGTGTGGGGAGGGGGCGGGGGGGGGGAGGGGGAGGGGGGGAAGAGGAATGGTAGGAAAGGGGAGCGGTCGGTTACGAGTGGAGACTGGAGGGCAGGGGAGTGGGGAATCCAGACAGCTGATAAAGAGAGGTGGAAAAAATATCGTTGGATGTACGAGGAGGTGAAGGAGGAAAACCTATTACCTTTATCTCCCGTGGTTTTCCTTTGGCAGATACGGAATATGAAAGGTAACGCCACACGAAAATGATGAGGCGAGGCGGTTGCCTCACCTTCCCGTACGAGTTTCAGTGCTAACACTTTCGTCCTTCCGAGATGTGGGAACGCGCGAATCCGCGTCTTTACCGGAAGAGAGAACATGCCGATCGATCGAGAAGAACGTATCGATGACTGTCTGTGTTCATCCTTATTGCACTCGCCCGTGTCTGAGCACCACCCTCAAGGTTCTCAAGCGCACATTTCATACCGAAAGTACTTACGACTGTCGACCAGAACATGAACACAAACACGAAGCAAAAGATGTACGACCCATTAAACGACGCACCTTCGGACTGTTTTTGCTGTGCTTATTGTTTCAAAAGTGTGTACAGCACATAACTATCGCGTGCGATTTTAGAGTTTTACTCACATTGTCTTGACCGCTAAAAGTAATGTATATTCTAGCTCATTTCGCAACCGCGCCAACCGTGCATCGACGTTGGTCCTCATGAAACACCGTAAGGTGATGTAAACGATGAGTTTTTCGAGGAGTCGTCCCTCGTGTCTTTTCATTTTGTCTCTCCGGAAGCGGGAGCAACGACGGGGGCGTCGCGGAGATCGCATTCGGAGCGGAAGCGGGATGTGCGAGAGGAGGAGACGGCGCGCGCGGAGGCGAGACTCGCCGAGACCGAGAAGGGGACGAGCGGCGTCACCCGAGCGTCGCCCTCTTCGTCCGTAGCGAGAAAGATCCGAAGCTGACGGATTAGTTTCTCTCGTGGCAACTGGGAAGGCCGAGTCGCGGATTTCACTTTTAACACATCGTTGCATAAAAGCAAACTACTGGAGACGACGACTTCAAATTTAGTCACACTCTCACTTTAGCAATGGAATTGCCGAAAAAAATGTACTCACCTCGCATTTACTTGATGCATGCATTAACCTGATACAAGCGGTTCTACATCTTTGTTCTAGCCTTTATTTGACTTTCTGTGTCGACTTAGGCGAAAAACGATCCCTCCCCATCCATGGTTTTAATGAAGTGATGTTAACTGCTTCACGTAACGACGTAGCGCAGAAACCCAAGTCCGCACCGTCGAGGCGTGAGGTTCGTGCTTTTTGTCGATGCCGAGCAATAAGCCTTAACCCTTGCGCCGAAAGAAAAGCCAGAAGAATGCGCCGATGACGCACGAGTGCGTCATCGGCAGTGAACGTGTTCAAAATGGATGTAAATTGCAGATGTATCCCTCCATCCGTTCCCGAGAAATGAAAAAAAAGGAAAATTAAGATATATAAACACACGAACATGAGGTAAAAGAAATGAATGGCGTCGTCGGAATGGATTGGATGGACCGTGTTCCTGCAAGAAATCAACGACTTCTCATCTTCTGTCTTTGGACGACTGAAGTCCTCTTGGTCCTGGTAAGCCGTTCTCCACGCATCCGATCGGAATGCCTGGAGTTAGGCTTAAGAGGTCACGGAAGATCTGGGTCTCACTGCTAGCCATCCGACTCTTTAGAGAGTTTTTCCAATTTTTAACCCGGGAGAGGAGTAAAACTCATGAAGTTTATGGTTGATGTTATACATCGACCATAAGTTAGTCTAGAATATTTTTCGCGATCTGTTGAATTTCTCGTCTATCTCTGTGTATTTTAATACCTGGCGGCAATTTAGTGTGGTTCGGGTTTTTAGTTGTGTGTGGGGATGAAAGAAAAAAATAAAAGGAATAAACAAATGCGGAGTCAAGCCAATATATGCCAGATGGTCCGCTCAGGGTCTCAGATCCTCTCTCTTCCTTCGTTTTCTAATTCGTTTCACAATACATATCTAACTGGAAACAAGTGAACCACACTAGTGAGAAGAGATGGGTCCCAGGGCCTCCCAAGTATGAAAGATAGGAAGGTTTGGATCATAGAAATAAAGCCTGAAATTTTCTGTAAGAAATAACTTGCATGATCCACAGGACGTCTTTCGACGTATCGAAAGTGGATAGTTCGACGCTATGATGTTTTAGGCTCATTTGAAATGCAAGCAGGGGAGGAAAAAGTTACCCTTACGCATCTCCTTTTGCCTGATATTGGAGGATCTCACCAGTTGCACTTGGATGTGGAAGACTTGACCCCCAGGGCCTTGTAAGTTCTCAAGCGTTAAGTCCTTCCAGTCCAAAAAAAAAGTCAGACTCACTACAGCATTACCAGCATCCCAGTCCAGCACTTTCAACAGAAAGTACATTTAGCTCTGTGAGTTGCAGCTTCGGTGTAGGTGGAAGAGTGAATGCATACGACATGACAAGGACCATGAACGTTAACAACATACAAGTCCCTTAATTGTGATCTTCAATAAATCGAGACTGATATTGTGAGAAACAAAATTTCATGATTGAATAAATTCCAGACTGATTCATCAGTCATAAGCTTCACCACACAACTGTCATGAGAGAAGTCTTAATTTCTTGAGCTATTTTCATTAGTAGGAGCAGAAAATAAGAACTGTGATGCATTTTATTACGGAACTGGAAAACTGGAATTCTTCAAATTCAATCAACTGTTGTGTTAGAGGATGGATCATTTGAGAGAGGACAATCCAGCACGCATGACCTCATCCACCAGAAGTAGGTTGCTTGCAATCACCGTCCTACAAGCAGCAACAGGTCATTCATTCATTTGTGGAAGACATTCCCGAGACGTTTCATCCCTTCGATAGCAGAGAAAAACAGAAACTCACGCAGAATTGATCTGATGCTTCTTCACGCAGTAGTTGTCGTAGATGCCGACCTGAGAAGGGATGAGGGCTCCTCCACTCTCAAGGTCCACCCCCACGCACTCCATGTTGGAGTCCAGTTCTTCCTCCAGCTTCACCAATGTCTCCTGGGCATCAAACCCTGCATTCCCAGCTGAAAAGCACATATTGGCATGGTCAGGCAACATCAGGGTAAATAAGAATGCCATAGACAGGAAATGATTTAGCTCTCTTCTTGTCCCATGACATGACCAATGGGAACTGGTTTCTTGTGACCTCATTTTTAAAACATGCACAAAGAATCAAGAAGAAAAGAAAAGGTATCTTCATTTACACAGGCAACCTATGAAAAAAATACAATCAGACTTGGCAGTGTCCTCGATACAGTCTCATAGCTTTGCCTCTAGTCAATTTTTACTTCAGAATTCTAGATTTATATCAACTCACCCAGAACTTTGGGGATGACAAGAAGGGCTTTGGCAAAGGCTTCAACTCCGAGTCGGGCACGTCCTGCGACCTCTCCCTTGCGTGCCATCAGGGTCTTGTGGGCTCGCAGTTCGAAGGCTCCAGCACCAGGGATGAGTCCCTTGTCGTCTATGGCATTTTTCACCGCCCTGAGTCCATCTCGAATGGCATCCCTGACTTGGGTCAGCACATACTTTGCCCCACCACGGATCAACAGCGTCACCGAACGTGGGTTGTCGCATTCCTCCACGAACGTGAACTTGGTTTCTCCCTGCCGAACAGTATGACTCAAATTACCCACGTGTGTTAGGTGAGATTTCTAACGTAATACTAAAACAAAAAACCATGACATTCTGATGTGGAGAACCCAAACTATCTAAAATAACTAAAAGGAGTAAATTCAGGCAATCAAAAAATAAGTCTGCTCAGAGAATTAAAGAAAAAGCTAATTTCTTGCTGTACCACAGGGGAAAAAAAAGTAATTCAATAATTTAACGAATAATTTCAAACTGAAGCAATAAAACAGAAGTACAGACAACACTCACCAAAACATGTTCATAGACAAGACCAGCGTGACCCAAGACTTCTGGCGTGAGGTCATCCACGGAGTTGACGGCAACCCCCCCAACAGCCAGTGGGAGACGTTCCATGTTACGGCGCTTGGCCCGACGCAGAGCCAGGATTCCCTCTCTGGCCAGCATATCCAAAGACGTGGGATCGATTCCTTTCTGGTTGATGACGACGAAGGCCTTTCGGGTTCCCTGGCAAGCCTGCTTCTTCAAGGCAATGATCTTCCTCACTCTCTCGTCGATGAACTCACGTTCGGATGCCAGAAGCTTCTCTCGCTCGTCGGCCGACTTGTAGAAGAATCCTGCATTCACTTCACTGGGGAACAAACATTGCAAACATAAATCCTCTCCCATTATATTCCTATGCACAAATTGCATATGACAAAGGCTGAAACTCACCTCTTTTCATACTCGAGGCTGACATTACACGTCAGGATCAATGCATTGGTGACACGCTTAGGCATGTCAGGATGTCGTGCCCCATGGTCCATCACGATCCCCTTCACCAGCTGAGTTTCCGTCTCTACTCGGTGCGGCATCTCCATGATCTCGACCATGTGGAGGTCCAACTCCTTCCCTTTCTCATGAATACACTCCACTGCATCCACACACATCTGGAAACAGGAAACTCTATCATCTTCCGACGGTTCCAGAGCAAGAATGATTTACTGTATCTGTTGAGGTATAGGTTTTAAACTTTCAAACCTTGCATCTATGCTGCAATCACAACCGTTGAGAGTTCTGATCCACTCACCGTAGCAAGAGTATCTGCAAGCGCATGGTCGACTTTGGTGCGGAGAGAAGTGCGAGCCACTGCGATCAAAGTCTCCTTGCTCGGTTCCCCAGTGATCTTCATTTCATCGAGTACCTTCAATGCCATCTCACGTGCAGCATAGAAACCATCGACCAATATTCTTGGATGCACTCCCTTCCAAAGTACAAGGAACCCAAAACACATCAAAATGTTATCATTCTGTTTATCATCATACTGAGCAAGTTGGATTTGAAGGATATGCTCACTTCTGACAGATAAGTTTCACCCATCTTCAGGAGCTCTCCAATTAGAAGAACTGTTGATGTTGTTCCATCGCCAATGATATCATCTTGGGCAGTTGAAGCACGTGCAATCAGTGAGGCTGTTGGATGCTGAATTTGCTGTAAGAAGGGCACAGAATGGAATGCCTCAAATTTTTCCTTCTTGGCTGATCTGTATGATAGGCCTACTGTACCTACAGATGCCCAGTAACGTGCCATTTCCCAAACTCTTACATTTTATTAAGTCTCAATTGTGGTTGTCAGGATACATGACAGTCCATCAATGTCACCATTTATTGGCTTTTATTTCAGACATTTTGATGCATGAGTAGAATAACATAATTTGGGCATGATGATACATCAACAGACTTGGAGAGGGAGCACTGGGATTATGAAACACTGCTGATTGGGTAAAAACTGGCTAATTTCATCTAATTTTTGCTACTATCTATCAACAAACACCTCTTTAAACCTCTATAAATCAATCCTCTCTACATAAGGAAACAAAACTCTTCCCCTTGTTATATGAGCCCACATATTGTGCAAGACATCACAAAAACCCAGAACATCTCTTTCTGTTCTTCTGTCATCCCTATTTCAGTGATACTTAGTCAATGCAATAATGCCCCATTGCAGACTCAGGTCAGTATAAACAGTCAGTTAAAAACTGCTCGTTCGAATTGATTTTTATATTGGCTGCGAGTTTGTGTGCTCTTGTGCAAGCACAAGAGACCAAAAATGCAATGTTGGCCTTGGCACTCAAATGTGGCACCATCTGGCTAGCTTATTTTTCCTTTTTTTTATTATAATGAAATAAGGAAATACTATACACTTGATTACTGTTTGCTACAATTTACAATTTCCTGAAGGGTCACAACCTAAAGTTGCTTGAGTATGAGTTAGTCTCAGGTCTCACGATAATATTAAAAAAAATAAAAAACCTTCATCTGAATCTCATTGTAGAAGAATGGAAGAAGGAAGCAAAGCCATGTGTCTGTTATAGCACAGTAAACATCATCAAATGCATGTCAAGCAGTCTGTCTCTTGTTTGCAGGCCCTATGAGGCTAGCATCTACAAGCTCTTCTGGAAACACCAATGATGTTCCACAACCCATATTCGCCACATTCATCATAGATGTGGATTAAAACCTAGAAATTGGCACCTTGACTAATTAGCTACTGTCCAGACTAAGACCTAAACATTATCTAAACAAAGGGAATGAAAAAGAAGGCACATATTCTTACCATCTCATGAAGGAGAACATTTCCATCCTTGGTGATCTTGATGTCTCCAGCACCAGAAACCAGCCTGCAAAACGATATTCAATTTTAAAGCTCAAGGGTATGGTGAGAAATCATATAATCCATGCACATGCATAAAATTATCAAATTTTTGTGCAGGTGAAGAGGAGTAGCCCCAGACTGCAGTATAACCATGAACAAATAAATATTTATCTTGAAGCGTTTTATTGCCATCCACTTTTCATGGATACTAATTCCAACCCCCCACCTTCCTTCCTTTCTTGCATGCCACATGCCTGAGCCTAGTGGGTCCATAATGCAGCCACCACATGCAGAGAGCATGCACCTAAGTCCATTACGGACAAAGAGCATTTAAGTTTTGCTCGTAGAACTCAGATCATTATAATATTATTAAGTCTTGACCAAGAACTCTTGATAACCTGTCTACACTTACATTTTCATGGTGCCTTTGGGCCCAAGGTTAGACTTCATCACCTCCTGGATGCTCCTGGCTGCAGTGACGTTCATCCCCAAGGCCTGGGTCGCACGGGCCAATTCGGCCTTCGGATTTAACATCGAGATGGCTGCCATTTTCTTTCGACTGTATGGTTCACTTGATCAACGTTCGCTGAAATCCCAGCCAAGAGTGGAATGAACCCACGTGCTTAGGAATTATACCTGAGATGACAGAACGAGGTGAACGCTCACTAGGCTAATGCAAATCAGTGCTTCCTCACGTGAGTCGGACGAAACTTCACCCGACTGGAACACTCGTGCAAGGGTGTTTCTCTTGCAGGTGCGTCTCAATCGAGCGAAAAATCGTGCGGCCGAAGCGGAAAACACTATGTTTAACCTACCGGTATCCACACCTTCACATAACCTAACTTCTCAGACAGTATTAAACAGAAAATGCCTGCGCTGCGCAGTAGCGCATAAAGAAAATGTCGATTTCAGTCATAAATAACTACACCTATGGTCTAATTAAGCAAATCTTTAGACATGAGGCCAAATAGGAAAGAAACTGCCAGCACGTGCCAAAAAAGGCGTCGACCGGAGACAGGACTCCACCATGTTGGGATGTGACCAACAGGGATGCCGGATGTCACGAGCAAGAGGACCACACATTTTTTCCATTCCCAATTTACATGGCCAAAACTGTGTTCGTTATGCAGTGTATTTTGAACTCACTTTAATGATGGATTCATTTGCCCAACTCTGTCGGGACGATTTATGAAGGATTGACTGCAGAATTACGAATGTGGGGCGCGGTGCACCCTGCAAGGAATCATGAGTCACGACGGCGAACTTTCCATCCCATTGTCCGGGGGAAGCTCCTCCCACGTTACGAGATATGCAACTTGCTCGCGTCGGTCTCCGACCTTTGCTGGTAGAAAAAGCTCCCCCTCTTCTCAGTGATGAAGACTTTATTCTTTTCGGTGCAGAGATCATTTGTGCGACTGACACGACTAGATGCAGTGATATGCAAACAAACAAAAAAAAAGAGATTCGTCGACGAAAGGATCGGTCACTGGACCTTGACCTCCTCCCTGATGCGACTGAGCCTCTGCCTCGCCCGGTGGAACGCCTCCAGCACGGTCCCCAGGCTGACCGAGAAGGACTGGGACTCGTGGGCCCTGGGCACGGACGACCCGTCCCCGATGCACAGCTGGTGCGAGACGCTCAGTCGCAGATCGAGTCGTCCGGACCCGATCGTCTGGAATCCGTAGCGGCTCTGCATGCTTTCCTAGAGGAAACGTTTTTTCATTCTTGGGAGTGCGGCGACTTCCACGGAGAATTGCGCATAGAAATTTCCCGAAGTCCGCGGAAAGGGTGGAGAAAAATCGGCCCGGATGAAAGCTAGTCGCGAGAGAGCTCTTCGGTTTCCTCGAAGCGATGTGGGCTGGGGGGCCGTCTTCCATTAAAAAACGGCAGATTACAATAGGAATAGTCAGTCAGAAGTCCCTTCTGAGGATTATAATGTATTCTGAAGGGAGTTCCTTCGCATCCAACGCCGTGACAGACACGCGGCCGTGTTTGCTTGCAGATGGTCCCGTGCCGAGTTTCCTCGTTTCGACGGCACCGCACCCATACGCGGCCGCCGTCTGAGAACTGCGAAAACCTGGAGTCGTCGAAAGGAAACGAGAGCGTTCCGAAACGCCGGGGAACGCGGGAGCATCTGCGCCGCTCTTCGATCGCGTCTCATGTCGTGGAGAAAACACGCCTGGCGGTTCTCGTGGACACTTCTTTGTGGCCGGACGTGTCTCGTGCAGCCGCGTGGCGTGGTTGGCATGGGCCCTGGTGCAACGAATCAAACGGGGCCCGCTGTCCAATTTCTTACTATTCAATTATACGGGAGTCATATATATTTTTTTATAGAATTTCTCCGGCAATCGGTAGCTGAAATCAGTGGAAGGCAGCGGCGGATACAGAAATTTTTCAGCCCCCCCCCAATCTACCACCCTCTGTCCTATCGCCTTATTATAGCAAACGCCCCTCCCCTCCGCCCCCGGCTTCCACCTCCTCCGCCTGCAGACGTGGAAGCCGGTCCCGATCGGGCGGAAGGCGCTGATGAGGGAATACTTCCTGGGGGCGGAGCCCAGGGTCGCGGCGCTGGAATACGCGGCGCCGCGCGCCGTCGAAGGGAAGGTGAGCCGCCCGTTCTCTGTCGCTTTCTGTCGCGGGAGCGCTTCCACGTACGGAGACTCGACACGAGTAAATAGACACCCACTGAGATTCCCGGGAGGCCTGGAATTCGGGCGATCGGCCGATGATCGCTAGCTTCAGGTGAGAGG